AAGATCTACCAGGATCCTGGTACACCACAATCTGTGGAAGGAGGTTAACTTTGGAAGAGGACAAATTAAATTACAGTTCTCCTGGTAGGAAACATGACATAGAATGGAACCATAATCATGAAACAATGTATATTTCCTATAGCTACTTCCCCTCTCTCCAGCTGAGCTTCAATACATTCTCAAGAGCTCTCCGTAATGTTAAGGAGAAGTATTTGAAGTTACACGGTCTAAGCATATATTCCCTGTGATCTCTTGGCTAATGGGATTATCAGGCTGTTTAGATGCTCATCTACACATGGGACATTCTAAGCTTTGGGAAAGGGCCATCATTCACCATATCAGCTGTCCTGAAACACTGTTAACACAAGTCTGTGGCTGTCCAGTGACACCGCAGCATCATCTCAAAAGCCAAATTCAGAAAACAAGGTGCTAAGGAGTTAGGTGCACAGCAGCTCGCCGGTGCAGCCCAGCAGGTCCAGGCAGTGGTGACTGGAAATGTTCCTGTTGGGGAGGTGCTTTAGTAAGACATGAAGATCAATTTCAACCAAGGGGAAGTTTCAGATGCTGATCCAGAAGTTCATGTGTAGAGGAATTCAAGTAGGGAGGAACTCAGTTCTAATGATGGTTTAGCACAATTAATTTTCTCATTATGTGAGGAAAGAGCTCTGAACACTGTCTCAGTATTCCCACCATGTGTAGCCCAGCAGAAAGCCCCTGCTTCTGGCTCCTTGGCAGACCTAGTGGGAGTTCAGTAAGAAGCCCCAGGCAGAGGGTGCATGTGAAGTGCAGAGACTGATACAGGGCTAGGGCAACTTGTCTGGAACAGACATACAGCAGCAAATACATGAAGACTGGAAGCAGATTTGTAACCTCTTTCACTGTTTTTCCAACTACATGTATCTGTTTCTTTCCTTTCTTTTATGTGAGTCATGTCACATCACCACTGAGGAGAAAGAGTAACGTGGTTTCCATTTCTCAATTCTGAAGGTCAGCAGCAGCACTTGTACTAAAAGGTGTTAGATCCTACATTGTTAGTGGCAGTCATAGTTACTTGTTACTGGTCCCGCTTGCAACATTCTGGAGTGCTTCTTAAACCATTGCTTCTCTTTGTTCAAAAAATGAACTAAGAGAGGAAGTGACAATTTCATGTTAACCACTTCAGCTTGCTTTCAAAAGAAATGGTCTTGGGATAAGTCCTATGGTGAAATTGTGCACATTGATTTTGAAATAACATGTTCATTTGACAAGGACTCATTTCTAAATGTCAGTCTTCTGATATGTCATGCTGGTCTGAAGACACATTGGCACTGCCAGTATGCAGGAAATCCAAGGAAGCCTATCTTACTGTGGAAGATGATATGTGCACTCCAGCTCCAACTAAATCTCTTCTCTTGGGAAAAACAGGTGTATTTTAAAGCATAATTCAGAAAGGAGTACTCGTCACTGAGAAAACTTGTATTTTCTAAATAACGAACAGTCCCTGCCTAAAACTCTGTATTTCTAAATCTCCTTGCCTTCATTTCAGCAATAATTAGAAGACAAAATCTGACACAAAATCTGTATCTAATAGGATTCCTGATTCTCTGCCTCTGCTGATTTAAAAGTTATGGTAAGCTGTCTTGAGATGACTGGACTTTTAATTCATCTTTTGACTCATACTCTGTTTTATTCCTACAAACAATACCAGGCTTGTGCGTAAGCTTGATACCAAATGCTGTTTACTTCTCTGTCTTCCAGATGCTTAACATTTTAGGCAGCAGAAGCATGTAGATAAGGGGCATTATGCAAGTTAGAAACCAAGCGTGCTCTGCAGACTACATCTCAGGTCCCCAAAAGCAAATCTACATTGCTTCTGGGATGTTTTGGGGCTGAGCAAAACCCTAGCAAGACTGGAGGATTGAGCACAGCAGTTCTGTACTGTTGTATGAGGCTCATATGCTGGGACAAGCAATGCTGGGAAGAGCCTGGACCCCCCTTAGCGCCCTCCCATTAACTCTGTGCCTGGTATTTGTCTTGATTATGTCAGGAAAAGAGTGAAAACACAATCACCTCTAATCCCAAAGCCCCTCTTGCTATAGTATGGTTTCTGTGCAATTGTTCTCAGCTTGAATACCACTTCCTCCCATTTGCACAGGCTGCAAAGCCCCCCATACACACACCCCCCCAAATAATTTAATAAATACATAGTTGGAGAAGTAATAGATATAATGACATTAAAGGTATTTTGCTAATGAGTTACTTTGATGCAAGAGCATCATGCCTTTGAACTTAAAGGAATCCAGAGTTTACCAGCAATGATTTAACTTAAAAGTAGCAATTTCTTTACTTATCATCCCAAGCCAAACATCGTGCTGATTTATGTTTCCTTTTGAGAAACTAGAATCTTTTAATTTCTGGGAGTTTAAAGTAACTCCTGGTGTTGTGACATTAGCAGCATCAGAAGCCATAGTGTGCTAAAGCTGGTGGGGTCCACAGGCCCCCAGCAGCTGCGTCTGTCAAGTTACCAGTAAGTTAACCAGGCAGACCAGTGTTCACCTTGCAGCAATGGGCTCAGTAAGGGTAGTTTGTGCAACAGGCTCACTTCCAGGATCAGGGAATAGAGTAATAAAAAATGGAGGTTGCTGCCAATAGCCAGGGTAAAAGTTAATATCTGGGGTAAGGAAAAGAAACAGACAAAGGTGAAATACCAGGAATGGAAATGCCTCTTAAGCAGAAAGGTTCATTTACCCTGTGATTATCAAGCATATATTACCCCAGAGAAATAATTGCCTTGGATTAAGTGATTTGTAGGAATCAGTTGCTCGGTAACAGGTAGCAAGGGAAGGTGGGGTGAGGGCTGCAGAGGTAAAACAAGCCATGTGCTGGTTTCCCTTCTCAGCCCAAAGAGCCTGGCAGCTGCAAAGGCCCCATGAGTGCCTCCCGTCTGGCACAGCAGCACACACAGGCAATTTATCAGAGGAAAGTTGGAGTTCTGTGCTCCCGGGCAAGTGGCAAGGGTGGAGCTTTCCTGTGCTTAAAGGCTAAGATAACTGGCATTTCTTCCCCCCCACTTTTTAATTGTTCTTCTGTGCTGTTTTCTATGTAATCATTATTATCATCATAAATACAGATGTTATCCAGCTTCAGCTTGTGTTCTGGGTTTCTTCCTGTTCACCTCCGAGATATCTCTGTCTCTCTGGCTGGTTCTTTTGCACATTTTCCTCCTTCTGACACCAGGGACTTCTCTGAGTGATCGTAAGCAGCCTCAGTTTGACAGACTGCACAGCCCCAGTCACACATTCCTCCTGGACTTGCACAATGGAATTTGCAGTTTTAAATAATTGAAGTAAACTGTATGTATTTCATATACAGCTGGAAGAGGCGATAACTCCTTCTAACTCCATTCACCAGGCTGCCTCTGTTAGGAAGGTATTTTCCATGCTAAAAATGTTTATAGCTCCTCAAGCAGAGATAATCAATGGGAGTCTGCAGTCATCATGTCTCAGCATGTCCACACCATGATGATCCACAAGCTGCTGATGTTCTCCTGTTTCTTTTTTTGGGTGTCTTGTGGCTAAAGATTGTCTTCTGGTTGGAAAAACAAAAGAAGTGAAAGGCCACATCCAGTGTGCTGTGATCTTCCTGTTACCAGCACTGGGATCTTCTGCAAAAGAGTCATCAGTCAGGATGTAAGTAGGGCATTGCTGAGTGTTAACCGTTACATCAGTCACGTCCTCAGCTGTCAAAGCATGTGGTTCCTTTAACTTTTGCTTACCATTTCTTGTGCTGCCTCTTCTGCTTCACAGACTTTTCCATGCATGCTGCATTCATATCAGTCTTGATATTTCCATCACAACTCTATGCATGCCATAATACACACTGTAAACTTCCGTACAACAGAGAAAACTGCTTACACAGGGGTGGGAAAGGTGTTCTTTTCAACTCTGTGATCTCTAAACTAGGATACTTTGGATAACTGAATAACTAGGATATCACTAGGATAACTGAAACCAAATCTGGTCAAGTCAGTTCAAAAGTCAGTATGAACATAACTTTCAATTTTGTATAAAACATTTAAACTTATTTTATGATAAACCAAAGCAAACCCAGTTTAAATCAAAACAAGCTTTTCTCAGGGCATCCAGTAGAAAGCCACTGTATCGCAGCTCTGTGTGAGTGCTGTGAGGTCTGTTCTACTGCAGCTGTAACAGCAACATTTGCACCACAAAGTGCATCTGCCAACCTGGGGGACTATAAGATGCTGTTTGCCCGCAGAGAGTGAACCAAGGCTTTTGCAAAAACAATCCAGGAAAGCAGTGGTCCACATGGAAAGACTGTAGCAATTCAATGTCTGCATGGCCTGTTTACAAAACCTCTTGCAAATACACTTAACTCATTGACACACCATAAAGATTTTAAATGCACTTGAGCAATTGATACAGTAAAGTGAAGTCTGAATTCTTTGTGGCAGTATACTGAAATAGAATGCCTCACTCTTGGCTCCAATAGCAAACCAGAGTTTCATGCCTGGTGTAAACTGGGAACGCTTATTCTTCCTGGACTGAATTAAGAATCTCTCTACTGGTGCAAATCCCATATTCAAAGATCTTCCATTTTCAGGTGGTTCCTAAGGTGTGGTGGTGCTTGCTTACACTTTTGCCTGCCAGCATGCAAGAGGTAGAGATGCAGGTCAGTCAGTATGCTTAGTCTTTTGGAAAATGATCTATTAGGCTCTGATAATCAGGACACCCGTACTGCTGAGGGTCCGCATTGGCAAGACCCCTTTGAACGTTTGACCGCGGGCTTCGTCAGTAAGTAGGAAATACCCACACGGCAGCTCTGAAAGGAAGAAGCCTGAGAGACCCAAATCCAGGGCGAGATTACTGCAGCCCCGCTTAACTGGGAGCGGGCAGCGCTCCTGCGAGCTGCCCGTGGAGCCGGGCGCCGGGGCGAACAGAAGGACACTTCCCCAGCTCGGGGCGGGAGCCCCCTCTCCCCGCGGTTTACGGGCGCGGGCGGTGCTGCCGCCCACCGCGCGAATCCCGCCTGCGGGAAGGGCCGGGCCGGCCGGGCGGTGGGCGGGCGCCCCGCGGCTCCTCATAAAGCGCTGCCCGGCGGCGGCGGCGAGTAGAGCTGGCTCAGTTGCAGCCCGGAGCCAGTGGTGCAGATCCGCCCTTTAACGGGAGGCTTCGGTGCGGCAGCAGCATGACTTCGGCGGCGCTGGAGATTTTGGGGCTGGGGCTGGGCATCCTGGGCTGGGTCGGGGTGATCCTTGCCTGCGGACTGCCCATGTGGCAGGTATCGGCCTTCATCGACGTGAACATCGTGGTGGCGCAGACCATCTGGGAAGGGCTGTGGATGACCTGCGTGGTGCAGAGCACGGGGCAGATGCAATGCAAGGTGTACGACTCTATCCTGGCGCTGCGGCCCGAGCTGCAGGCGGGCCGGGCGCTCACCGTCATCGTGGGGCTGCTGGGGCTGGTGGCGCTGATGGTGACCGTGGTGGGTGCGCAGTGCACCAACTGCATCCGACCCGGCAAGATGAAGTCCCGCATCGTGGTCGCCGGCGGGGCCATCTATGTCCTCTGCGGGGTCCTGGTCCTCGTCCCGCTCTGCTGGTTCGCCAACATCGTTATCAGCGACTTCTATGACCCCACCGTGCCGTCGTCCCAGAAGCGGGAGATGGGGGCCGCGCTCTACATCGGCTGGGCGGCCACGGCTCTGCTGCTCTTCGGGGGCTGCCTCATCTGCTGCTGCTCCTGCTCCCAGCGCGATGAGACCTCCTTCCCCGTCAAGTACTCGGCGCCGCGGCGGCCCACATCCAACGGCGAGTACGACAAGAAGAACTACGTCTGAGCGGAGCTGTCCCGCTCGCCGCCCCGGCCCTGCGGGGACAAGGACAGACTGCTGAGGGCCGTCCGGTGAGGTTCGGCGCTACCCTGCCTGGCGGCGCTTCTTATCGGGGACCCCCATAAAGCGGCAGCCCTAGGCAGGGCGGCGCCCTGCTGCCCGCCGGCCCGGTGGGTCCGGCAGCTCTGCAGCTGGCAGCGCCGAGCCCGGTACTGACCGCCCGCGGTGCCGGGGTGAGCCAAGCCCTCCCTGGCCGCACAGCGGAACCGGCGGCTTCCCGGCTCGGGGCGGCGTTGGGGACCCAGGAGCCCGGCCGAACCGCGGCGAAGTCTGCCGGGACGCCCCGTCCTGGGTCCCGCCGCCGCACCCGGCCCTTCCCTGGCGTTACCGTGGGGGACTCGTGAGTACTTCACCGCCTGCTCCCGCTGCTGGTGTCTCTCGGGGCGCCTCCAGGCCGGTGGGATCGTGCCGCCGGGAGTGCACTGCCGCAGAAGCTTCCCGTCTTCGTTTTCTCTGCTGAAAACCTGCCTCTGGGTGCTTCCGCTGGGACTTTCACTGGTTAGAGGGGGATTGTTCTTGTATTTAGATAACTAAACTAGGGATTCTGTCTAAAGCATGAGACTAACCTTAGTCTTTAATCCCGCAGGCAAGTAACTGTTTTGAGAAAGGTATTTGGTTTCCTTCAAGTTGTTTCAGTGCATTGTGTCTTTGAAGCCTTTCAAAGAGGTTTCAGGTAATTGCTGTCGTTTAGTGGAGTACAAACCAGATTACACTAGGTTCTTCATCCCTTGAGGTTCTTCATCTCTTCTCCCTCAACTTCTGTTCTGTTTTTACTTGAATATGAACTCATTGCCAGAATGATTGGAGGACTAGATTCGGAGACGTAAGAGATCTTTGTATGTTCTGCCTCCCACGGAGCATCCCTCTGCAGCCTCTCATCTGCACTACAGGAGACTGGAAACAAAAATCACCCCAGATGTTAATGGCTGGGTGCACGAACTCATGTCCTTCTCACCAAGCCCCACTTGCCGCCAGTGTTGAACTGTGTGCTCAGTTGGATGTGCACTTGCTTGGCTCCCCACTGTAACTTTGTTAACATGTGCTTTCCTTCATTTACCAAATGAGGCAAAGAAATTGCTAGAAAAATTTTATCAAATATCTTGATGGAGACTTTACGCAGGCTGATTGGGAGATGTGAAGTTCTGGCTCTCTCAGCTCCTCCGTATGGCCCTCAGAACACTGTGCAGGCTCGAAGGAAGATGCTCTAGGCAACATAATGCTTATTTTCTGAGCTCAGCACCTGCTGGATTTCAGCACAGCCTGGAATATTAGCACACACCTTTGCATTTTACATTGCAGAGACAGGTTTTTCTGAAGGAGGAGTTAATGGGTGGTCCAGTGTTCCTCCATGCAGATTACTTGTACTTTTAAACCAACACAGAATTCTGCTACAGATAGTGGCAGCATCTGTATTGCCATAAGATTTCCGCCAAGAGCTAGCAAAGAAAAGTGCTGTTCCTATTCCTCAGAGCACACTACAACCTCTTGGGTCTCTCACAGCCATGTAGCAATCAGTGCACCTCTAACCTAAGAGTCAACTCTTACAACTTCCTGATAACATCAAGATTTATGGACTAACCGTAACTGTGTGTTTGTGACAGATCTACACCAACGGTGTTGTTGCCTTGCTTAGCAAACTTAAACCCCTGGTGGTATCAATATGAACACATACCTGAATAAGAAACTGCAACCCTGCCCCTGCAAATTTTGATGTTGAATATGGAGGACATGATTCACCCCTTTAAATATCACTGCTTTAATTTTTAAACACATAAGCAGCAGGGTCTGAGCCCATCAGAAAACAATATGCCTACAACTAGTTTTGTTCTATAAAGAGGTGCAACTCTTATACTGTCTGCATTTAAATAAAAGCTATAATTTTTTTTTGTGATATGTAATTTTGGTACAAAAATGAAATATTCTGTATTTCATCATTGCAAGTTTTTTCTTTTTTTTTAAACAGTGTAACCCTGTAAACTGTAAATGTATTTAAATGCATTTATTTAGCAAGAAATCCACCAAAGTTGGCTTGTTAAATGGTTTGGTGCCTTTATTTGTTTCATGGTTACTTTACTTTTTATTTTAAACGATAATGTTTAACTGTATTTGTCACCTATCCCATAGACTCCCTTGCTCAAATCACTTGTGTCTAGCGAATGATTCAACAGGTATTAGCCCAAATCCGAGATCTCACTCTCTGGTCTTAAGTTAAAGACCAAAAAAGCAATCCCCACCAACTGACACACCTGCATGTATGTGTATAGCAGAGCTTTCAGAAGTGCTACAGGGCTTGGGCTCTGACCAAAAAGTGAAAGCACATCCCTGGCATCTAAAATCACACCAAAACTGGTGTTCTGGGGAGGAGGGAAACCCACACCTTAGAAGGGAATTTGTTTTTAAGAAGCCAAATTTCAGGAGATGGAGCTTTGTGTCGCAGCAGGGCTGGAACCTCTTAGAACCAAAATCTGAAGTAACTACACCGCAAGACCTCTTGGAAGAAACCAGTGCTAACTGTGGATGTACTGATAAACATAGCATCATCCTACCAAACCCATACCTCACTGCTGATGTGACAAGGTTTATGCTGAGGTCAGTGGGGCAGCTTGCAACAGCACCAGCAGGAAGTAGGGCCCATTTTAAAAAATGCTTCTATATTTAATCTCATCCTTCAGTAGACTTACTTGTTGATGTGCTTTAAAAAACAACTGGGAAGAACTCTGTTACTGATGTCACTGGCTTCAGGATAAAAGTCTAAGCTGGTTTTTGCTGTTTTGTTTTCTAAGAACAAAGACCTAATCCAGAACTTTCAATACTTGGAAGTGCTCAGGATCAGGCCTGAACCTCATCCCGATGAAAAGAGAAATCTATAGCACTTGTTTACTATTTTTATTTTGTATTTATGATTTCACATAAAAATAAAACCATCTAAACCAATCCCTGAACAGGGTTACTGTTTTTTCGTGAAAAACACTGGACTGTTTGGGCTCAGGGAGATGGGGTGTGACATGGGTGCCCAAAGGGCCACCTTTACCTGGGCTGCCTCTGGCAGGTGGAGAGCTGGGTCCCCTCTGAAGCAGAGGGAAGGACTGCTCCCTTGCAGAGCAGCAAATATCTCAGCTCCCTACTGAAGCCTCAGACAAAAGAGCAAGTAGCAGTGGCTGGTCTTGTGATGTGAGCACATTAGGAAGTGGAGTGTGAGTCCCAACTATTTTGAGAACAGCTCTAAGCATGAAGCTTTTTAAGCTTTCAATTCCTACACATTTAAAAGGAAACAATCTGGCTGTAGCTTGGATCAGCCCCAATCTGACCTGATACCCTTGTAATGAGTAAATTCCTGTTTGTTAATCAAATCTTGCTTGCTTAAGAGTTATTGGAAAATCGACATTTTGCTTATAGACCACAGGTATCCAGTAAAGTAAATGATGTATGGGGGAAGCAGATAAGGAGCCTTCCTCCCCACACCCACCGGGAGGCAAAATGAGACCCTTTATCAACAGGTCACACAGACGCAGAGTACACCAGGAAGTGACATGTATATCGGATGAAGAAGAGTATAAAACCAGTGACTTTGGGGAAGTGGGTTGCGCGCCGCTGGCGGAGCAGAGACTCCCCGGCCGCCCAGCGTTGTTTTGCTTGCTGTCGCTTGCTCAATAAACCAATTTGATTCATTGGTCTGGCTCTCGTCAATTTATTTGAGCCACATTTATAACACCCTCATCCTTTCTGCCACCCCTTTTTTTTTTTAAGTGCCTTGAAGCTGGGGAAAAACATTTCTGATGGATCAGAACAGAACCTGTGAAAAAATGGCTGTTAAAGGGAACTGCAGAAGCTAATTGCTAGTGAGGAAACTTGCCCAAGTTCCATGACTGCCAGGGAGGGCTTTCAAGTTTTGCACTTTTTTTTTTTTGCAAGATTTTCAAGCTCTCCTAACAAACTGTTGCTTTAAAAATGAAGAAAAAAAAACATCTTCAAAGACTTCATTTTGCAGCATTCTTGCCAGCTCGGTTGAGATTAACAAAAGCTCCTTGCCACCCTCCCATTGCTATGCACATGCTGAGCTACAAAAAGGGTGTCTGCCGGCTTGGCCTTTGTCCTGCTAAGCGAACCATTTCATAGTTATGAATTTGAAAGTAACCTGCAGTTCATACCCTGCAAATCTGGTTAGATCCTGTCTGTGCAAAGAAGGGAAATGCAGCAGGCAGAGGGAAAAGGAAGCTCAATCAGTCACGTTTGCTGCAGGATGTTTAAGGAAATATTTCCTTTTCCTGCACAAAGATGTTTGTTGGGCATCTGCTCTTTGAAAAGTACTGAAACACTTTACTCTTGAAGTGAGAAACCAATGTAAATCCCAATTATTATTTATAAATCTATTCCCTGATTAAATATTATGAAAGGAATTTGGTCTTTTTCCTTGGCCATCTCTCAAACCATGATTGTGGGTAAATAATCCCTTAAGCCTGCTTCCTCAAACCAAGACTGATCCATACATCTGTAATGTCAAATGAGAACCCTGCCTGCCAAAAGCCATTCACCACATATAAGTGCCATATTCATGCATATATTCAGCTATAAATACAGTATTCAGCATCCGATGATACCCACAATGCATCCTTTTTTTGTTTTGTATACTAAAAAAAAATCATTATTTATGTGCACATTAGAGGGCTTGCTTTTGTAACTCTGCTTAGTAAGACAGCAAATATTTCTACTGTATCAGGTTAATCAGGAAATAGCAGGTGAATTCTCTTTTCAGGTCAAATACTGCATTTATTTTACCTGAGGAGTGACTGTGATAGGGTAAGTAATTCCAAAAGCAGGTTCTCAAAGCCCCTCACATTTATAGTTTAGAAGCAACTGAGTTCTATCATTCTTATTTTCATTGGACCTTTGTGCATGTCTTTGTGCGTGTACATGACTGCTCCAGACTGTTCGTTGCTGATTCTCTGCAGGACCAGGCTGTCTAGAAAAACCCTTCTTCCTACCACAACCTTCAGTTATAAGAAAAGGACCATTTCAACTACTGCACCACTGATAAAACCTCCCATGGAAACAGCAAAGGCTTTACAGTTGCTTAGATACACAAGACTTGCTTCACCTTTTCTTTTTCTTAAACCCAGATTGAGACATTCTACCATGAATCACTTTAGCAGTGTCCTTTGTCTGTGGCATTTTGGGATTTTGTTTACAACACTGAGCTTCTCTTTCCTTCCAAAGCTTACCATGTAGCTTCAAACCAAAGTCTGGCAAGGAAAGGTAGCAAGAACTTATCATAGAAGCACATGTGTCAAGTCTAAAGCATCTGTTCAGGACTCTTGCCAATCTTCTCTTCATGCTTGATTGCATCTGCACTCTGGCCACTTTGCATTGCCCTGAGGCACAGCTTTGCCTCACTGTAACTGGCACCTACTGCTTGAGTTGCTGATCACCCCAAGATATGTGGGACATGGCAGGTGTGCCCAGCCTATCACACAGAAACTGCAAAGGAATTGTCACAACTGATCATACATGTTATGGTCTTGATGACTTCAAACACTGTCACAAATATCCTCTATGTCTCTTACTCATACATGCACACACAGGGGATTCATGTAGTCCTTTACAAGTTCATATAATAAACACAGTATTGCACATCCATATTTTGATGGATGGTTGAACTGGGTAGATCCTACAGTCACTCTCACCAGTACAACTTAAATAAGCTCAGGATAATGAGGGAGCCTACCACATAAACCATATCACTCAGCAAGAGTTTGTTTTAGGAGCTACTTAGGAAAACGAATGTATCAATAAGCTTGGAAGTTAAGCAGCCTAAATAGACCTAACTGATGCATTTATTGAACTATTGGCTTTAGCTTTTTGTTTTGAGAGCAATGGGAACTGTACATATAGCATGCAAAAGAAGAGAGAGCCTTGAAAAGATTATCTATCTAGCTGGTTTGGTTTCAGTATACAAAAGGAGCTGCCAAGAAGGTACAGCACTCTCATTATATTAACACAGGAGAGTAAATTAAGATAATACCTCCAACACTCACTACAGACCAGTGCAAAAGAACTCCGACCAACTAGAAAACCAGGCAGAAAATAAAATCAGCTGCATCTTGTACTCTGATCCTCCTCAGAGCATCTTGAATGGCAAAGGCCATTCACACTGGCTAAAGCGCCAGCAGCAGCTGGCAGAGTACTCACATCAGGTACAAGATTTTTCTTGAAACACAGCTGAGATGTCATTCACACAGGTTATTATTGCTTTTGGGAAAAATATGCTTAGTTTAGACAGGCTGAAGTGCCTCAATGTTATAGTGTACAGCAATAGCAGTGGATCCATTCCTTACTGCATGACAGCTCCAAGTCCAGGGAGGTTCCCTTCTGGTGGATTCTCCAAGCTACACCAGCCAGGCTGAGAGTTTGCATGACACAGGGAGGTGCTTTGGTGTACACAAACATAACAGATGAGATGAAGCCCGATTATGTTTATTTACAGAGGAGAACAAAAGTAAATATTTAAAATAGCTGCTTTTTTTTTCAGGCAAACAAAAGATAACCCTTCCAAAAGTGACTCTGATCCAATGAGCAGACTGTGAACTCTGTGCCAGTTTTAACATCACTATGCATTGCTCATTGCTGGCAAAGACCTGCAGGGAGTTGAGTTACATGTGTGTAATTTTAGGTCTTATCACCTGACAGCACCAGCTACCAGGTTTGATTTATTTATTAGATGACCAGAAGATTTTAATGCATTAAAAAATTGCACTAAATGCTAGGAGGTGCGCAAAAGCAGAACCTACCACAACATTTTCAATCTGGTAGCAAAAACAGTTTGCAATGTTAAATGCATTTTGTATTTCAGCTGTGTATGTTCCTGAAATTTCAAGCAACCAGGTTAGCTGCCAGAGGTCTGAGTGACATTCATCCTGATCTCATAGCAGGTACTATAGCAATTTATCCAACTATACGTGGGTTCTGTTCCCACTCTCAAACACATTATGATCTGAATCAGTTCCCCTCTGTTACACTTATATATAACTCATCCGTATTAACAGTATTTGTAATCAGAACACTTCAATAGAAGGTTATATCTTAAGAGAATTTAGGCTTGGGCACAGAAAAGATCACTCAGAAAAGAAAAATAGGCACTCCTTTACAAAAGGATATGTAAAACCTCAAAATTTTATGATCCAGTTTCAAAAAGCTTCACATATTTGAAGGATCAGGGAAAAACACAACAATCCCAATTCTTATCAGCTCTAACAAGTGCCTAGCACGGCAGAATTCTTGAGCTATGCATATTTTTAGATTACTCTTCTAGTCATAATGTCCTGTCCTTACTGTATATCTTTTGTCAGAATTAGGATATCTGCTGCAGCAGCCTGGATAACCTTTAACCTGAGCTACAAAACCTTTAACAGTTTCCAATTATAACAGCAATCTTTCATTCTATAATACAAATAAACCCAAGTGTTATCTCAGCACAGAAGACTCACATGAATACCCAATGACTGCAGAATGATTTCACCAATCTTTTTTCTCTATGATTTCCTGCTATTATTTAATTGGATGTGACTGCCAAGATCCAAGCAAGAGAATACATTTCACTGTTTACATCTACTTTATTTTTGTTATACTGTTGACATTTCAAAATGTTGACATGCAAGACTGAAGCTTTAGAAATGGAACATCTACTCTGAATTCCATTGTGTTCTTGGACCTCCAATTTATTTTTGAACCCTTTCATTTTCTCCTGATTTTATTGTCTTACCCTGTTGACAATTTCTACCTGGCAGTTTTAGAAAAGTCTTAACTCCCAGAGCTTGTGCCATGGAATAGAAGTTTCTATTATCCAAAAAGGTATAAGACACATTAATAAGAACACCCTTACAGATATATGGAAACGGTTTCCCCGTAAATAGAATCTTCATCTACTGTAACAATGTGGA